GAAGACATGCATTTGTAGGGATAATTGGAAAGTTTTGAGGGTAGACTGGTTATATGCTGAAGAAGTTTAAGTTAGTTCTAAGAAATCTGCATAGATTCTAAGTTTCCTAAGTTCTTAATACTCAGTAAAAGTACTGTATTTGTATAGCTGTCAATTGCTCTATAAGGGGCAACCTGCTGGGTTTTTTAATGAATCTGTAAATTTGCTTTATTTTATTCATCAATCATTTGTATCTATTTAACCATTAAGCAACAGGTATGGTCAATTGTGGATAAGCAAGATGATGGAAAAAGTCTAGACTTGGAGTCAGACAGACATGGCTCTGAACCTGGGCCCCAGCCTCTTGCTAGCTGTTGATACCCCTGTTTCTCAGCGTGCTCATCAGATATATGGTGATAATATGAGTCTTAGAATCCTGCCATTAGGACCAATGAAGTATCAGTGAATGAAACTGAGAAAGAACAGTCTTGTGTGTTGTGAAATGCACATAAAGTGTTCAGTTCTATAAATTATCTTCCAGTTATCATTAAATAATCAAAAGAAAAAATGTACACAAGAAAATCAGACAGTAAATTCCAGAAAATAGCCGATTATAAATTCCTCCATGCAACATTCTTTTCCTGTGCTTTAGGAAAGTGCTAAGCTTTAGAAATTATTTCTTGCAGAACTGGGAAGCCTACAGAATAGGAAAGTTGGTGTCCCTTGAATTGCATACAGTCAGCACTCTTTAAGGTTGAGATAGGGAAAAATGGATGCAATAGACATATTCTTTGATGGAGGGCAACTCCTCTTCCTCCTGCGCATGCCAGGAGTCTAAATCAAGTCAGAGACTCTCTTTAAAAATGAAAACATTAGATAATGTAGGAAAGGTACTGTAGGCATTGTAGGTATGGGTATTGTAGGAAAACATATCTTCGATGAAGCATAAATGTTTGACTCAATTTTACTGTTTTTTTTTTTTCACCAAACCCTAAGAGTATATAATGACTTCTTTTGAAGTCATAAGACTTATTTCAGGGGGTGATGACATTTATTACTGCATTTTGATATAGCCTATGCAATCATCTTTCATTAGATAATTTTACATTCTCATCTGGCTTTTCTTATGTGTACATCTCATCATTCAATTATATTACAAGATGCTGAGGACAGGCAATCTTTGAATGTAACTCCTGAAACATAGTAGACCATGAGTGCTTATGAATGGATTTACTGTCGGACTTTTTGACTGATGTGAAGATAGAAAGTGTGAATGAGTTTCAGGGCTAAGAAAAGAATCCTAATATTCTAGCTCCAATCATTTGAGAAGTAATGCAGTCCACAGTTTAATAAAATATCCATAAGGCATCAAACTGTAAAATGCCATGTGGAACAGGTTCTCCATAAGTATTTGTTCAGCTGAAATAAATTAATTGTGTAGTCCCTCTTTCCAGGAAAACACAAATTGACCAGGCTGACAAATATGGCAGAGGCATAAAAAATATGAAATGGATTTAGACCATGTAAAAATCTGACCTAACTACTCAGTTTTTTTACAAACAAAAAGTTCGATAGATCTGTAGTGAATGCATAAATCCATGAATTCAGACTAAACTATGTCTGGATCGCCTGTTTGTCTCATCTGAAGTAGTCATAACAAAATTTTTTCAGCCTTCATTTCTTCCGGCTATGGAGTCAGTAGTAATCTCAGAATGATACTTAGGATATGACATGTCTTTAATGGGATGCTTAAGTAATCACAGCAATTTAATTAAAAGGGCAGTTGGATTTTAAAACAGCTATTGTTCCCCAGAGTGTTACAGTTTTGCTCTCACATTACTACAGTTAATGCTTCCACTCATCAGTTTTTTGTTTGTTTTTTGATTTTTAAAAACATTAGGTAGTCCTTAACTTACCACTAGATTTTGTCTCAAAAGTTTTCTCCTCAAAATATGTGATTGCTCTTTCCATTTGCATTTGCTAGCCCCCTCTCCAAAGCTCCTGGTTTTTCAGAGCTCCTTCATTTACTCTTTCCTGTCTTTGATTTAAATATTCCCTCTGGATGGCGCCTGGGTGGCTCAGTCAGTTAAGCGTCTGCCTTCAGCTCAGGTCATGATCTCAGGGTTCCTGGGATCTAGCCCCATGTTGGGCTCTCTGCTCAGCAGAGAGTCTGCTTCTCCCTCTCTCTCTCTCTCAAAGAAATAAATTCAAAATAAATAAATTATTATATATATATTCCCTCTGAGTGATCTGTTCACTCCCAACCCTTCAACTACTGACTGAATCAGCACCTGACAAAATTGTTATCACATTTTCCGTTTCTTTCTTTAGCTCCAGATCAGCTTCTTCAGTTTGATGTTGCATGGGTACTTCAAAGACAACCTGTCCTGAATCAAAAATCATTCTTTTCTCCTCTACATATCTGCACACTCTCCTGTGGTGCTTGCTTGTTTAATGGGGGCGTCACACAAACTGGTCACAAAGGCCAAAACCTTAGTGTCATGCTTAGTGGTTTCCTGTTACCTTACTACTTAGATAAAATCAGTACAACCTAAATATATACAATTTTTATTTGTAACTCCTACCTCAATAAGGCTGGAAAAACATAGTAAGAAGGTTCACTGATTCTAACTCAAATTCTAATAGCTCAACCGGCTCCTCCTCAGCCCCAGTAGCACTATCTTAAGCATCATTTTCTGTTGCCTCTTCCAGGAACCTCCTCATGGACCTCAATGCCTCCTGTTTTTTCCACTCCAGGTTGTCCTGTGCATCAGCAACCCTCCTCCATTTTTCTTCCCTGAAATGCAATGTTCACAGATGAGACATATTTCTATGGGCTACTTAAAAGAGTGAAGAGATAGAAACACTGAGTGAGGCAGTTAAGCACTTTAATTATTCATAATCTTCCATAGGACCTGCACAAGCCATGCATTAGCTGGGCCCCATCTATCTCTCATCTTCGTCTCACGCTTTTCTCCCTCTCATTCATTAGCTCTGCTGAGTTGTTCCTGCCCTGCTCTGTGCTGCCCTGCTCTTTCCTGCCCTTTCTCATGCTGTCTTCACCCATTCTCGCTTCTTTCTGACCTCAGCACCTCTTGAGGGAGACTTTTATTGAACACTCCTCAATGTAAATTAAATGCCCTTGCTCTTCCTCATAGGACTTGCCATAATTTATAATTATATGCTTATTTTTGTTGTTTTGTTCTATGTTAAGCCTATTTCACCTACAATGTTTCTAAACTCTGAAGGCAGAAACTGTGTCTGTTATATTCACCATTGTATCCACAGCCCCTGTGCAGTATCTGGCAGATAGTGGCCATGCAATAAATATTGAATGAAGGAATGAATCAATCATCACAACTAGTAACGGCATATTGGTAGGCTAGCTATCTATAGGCTCTGTCTGTGGATTAAGGGCAATTCTCGTCCCTAAAAAGTTAGTAAGAGCATTGCTATTGTAGGGATAACTTTGACCACATAACCTTCAGTACTCTAGCACTGTTATCGTACATTATTGCCACACATGGTAAGTCTGATCACAGCACACTAGACACCCATTCTCTGGCTACCAGACATTTCTTCTTTATTTGGCTACTTGAGGTTTCTTCCTAAGGCATAAAACTCATCATGTAATTCTCCTACTTAAGAACTTTTAGTGGATTCCCATTGTTTTCAAGATAAAGTCCAAATTATTTGACATGTCTAACGAAGTCATTCTCAAGCTGGACCTGGCCATTTTTTCCAACCTCAGCCCCAGCCGGTCTTGACCATAGGCCACGATCAAACAAGGTTCTTTCATACCTGGGCCTCTACCAGAAATGTCCCACTTTTGTCCCTAGATGGATACGTATTTGCTTTTTAAAATCCAGCTCTCTCAAGCACTTGAGTTACTCCTTCCTTTGTGTTCCCATTGTGTGGGTATATCCTCTTAATTCCAAAATTTACCACATATTCTATGATAATTTATTGGGATACCTGTCTCCCAGACTAGATGGTAACTCCTGGATTAGATTGTGTATTCCCAGTGTCCAGCCCAATACATAACATATAATTGTACCTCGTAATGTTTGGGTGACTGAATGTATTGGCAGTTGTTTGGAAGTAAAGATGCCTTTGCTTACTGAAGCAATGTTATAAATGGTGATTTAATTCTCATCTGACTCAAAAAAGCCTATTTAGGCTATAATGCAACTGAAACATATTGCTAATATTCCTTTTTTTCTAATATTAGAATATGTTCTCTTTCTACTCCACCGAGATTGAGGAACCCTGAAAGGTGGCAGAGACCTTTCCTAAACTTTTCTCTTTGGTCTCTTATTGCCTTAGAAGGAAACGCCAAAGGAAGAGTTCTTTCTTTCTTTCTTTTTTTTTTTCGTATCATAATGGGATGGGATTTCTGCCATTTTGATTTTCTTGGTGGAGACAAAATGTCAACTGAGGGTTTGAATCTTTGGGACTTGTCTGTGTCTCAAATAGTCTCAAATACCACTTGTCTCATAACATACCATTTTGTGATTCATATAAATTTTGCTGTAATACTATGAGCTGTAAAATGAAATTAACTTTAAAGGAGGTCTGCTAATAGGAAACTAATAGGAAAAGGATCTTTTTACTTAATAAATGGTCTCACCTATAACACATACTCATATTATTAATCCAGGCAATTGTTTTTCAACTTACATCGAATGAATCAAGACAGCCATTCTTCTTTGCAGTCCTTGACTCTCATTACACATTTTGTACCTTTGGTTTTATTATAGTTATCCACAAAAATAATGTTGAAACTTGGAAAATAAAACAATAATCCTGATGTATGATTACATAATTGATGCCATTTATTTGATATATATTGTAATGTGAACAAACATGTTTACTTTTAATAGGTGAGAATGACACATGTTTTGAAAAACATTATATTGCATTGAATCATATGTTTTTATAAAGTAGCTAACCTCATTAAGTTGGTTTATTAAGTAAGTGCTTTTTCTGAGTCACTCTCTCTCTCTTTCTTTTTAAAATAGGTGGTGTTTGCATTGCTCAATCACAGAAAATCCCACGTGAACCAAGACCTGGAGAATTTGAAAAAATTATCAAACGCCTGCTAGAAACACCTAATGCTCGGGCGGTGATTATGTTTGCCAATGAAGATGACATCAGGTGCTGATTAAATTTTCTTCCTGATGTAGGATCACATTTGCAACACACATCCTTTTTTTTTTTAACATATTTCATGTTCAATGTAAAATCTTGTGAGATTTCACAGGAATTGTAACATTCTCATGCGATTACAGACTGCCTTCCTTCTGCTGCAGAGATACAACAGCCTTCTAGTTTCTAAGTCTGAAATGGCTATAGAGTAAAACCTGAGAACTGAAAGAAATGAGACCAGTAAAGATGATAGACAGAATAATGTGAAGGAGGTTAAGGATGAGGCTGATTAACAGGTGCTGGAGTAAAAGTCTCTAATATGTTTCCTTTAGAAACGATAAGACTCAGACAGTTAGTGATTGACTAATTGTTTAACAGTGACTTATTGAGTGCATATAATTTGATATAACTGGTCTTGTAACATTCCTAAGTGTAGTGTTTCTTGATAAATATGGTGTGTTTTATTTCTTTTTATTCCTGTAGGAGGATATTGGAAGCAGCAAAGAAGTTAAACCAAAGTGGCCATTTTCTCTGGATTGGCTCAGATAGTTGGGGATCCAAAATAGCACCTGTTTATCAACAGGAGGAGATTGCAGAAGGGGCTGTGACGATTTTGCCCAAAAGAGCATCAATTGATGGTAAGGACAAGCCGTAGAAACTTTGTTTCATTCCAACTGAATCAAAACTCAAAGGCAAAACCAGAGTATCAGCATAGGCTGAAATAAACCCATTGTTGATGACTGGATAGAATTTTTAATTCTGATGGTAGAATTACCAAGACAATAACTATTTAACCCAGCATATATTTTTCATTAGAAAAGAGTACCCATAAGATTTTTTTCTTAAAAAAAGAGAGTTAGAGTTGGCCTTAGCTATTTCCATGATGTTGCTCGCTAACCTTGCATATTTCTGTGGCACAGATGATGATTACAGCACTGTCATGGGGAGGGGAGAGTGCTGCTATATAAAAAATGGAGCCGTGAGGCTGGGCTGACCCTACAGATAAATTAATGCAACAGCGAAGATATGGAGCCTCCCTGAAAGAAAGTCTGTCTCCCACATAGCCTTTCCAATGGTCTTAGCGGTGACTGAAATTCCTACCTTCCCCATTATCTTTTGGAGTAAGGCATAAGTTCCAGCTGGTCTCCCTTTGATGAGGTGGTCTCCTGAGCAAGCTGACACTTTGGCCCATTACCCATGACCCTATAAGATTACATCAGGGCTGATTAGTTATTGGATTAGCTGAAAATGGAACATATAGGACAGATACATTTTGAGGCAGGTAGAAGCATAGAAAACTGGAGCATTTATTCCTGCTAGGAGACAGAAGAGTGAGAAAGTGTGAGTTGGTTCTGAGCATCTAGCAGAAGGTTGCTGGTGGCTGCGATGTAGAGGAGATGGGGAGGTTGTGAGCATGACACCAACAACAGGCTCTCCTGTTCCATTCATCTGCTGAACCAGGTGCCTAAATGGTGAACAGTGAGGGCGATAATACTGTCCACTGATTACCCTTGGCTTTGACCATAAGGGAAGACTGATTTCTGGGCTACTGGTTCCCCCCATTTGTTAGTATGTTTTGTTTTGTTTTTCTCATGCAATGATCGCAACATAACATAATATCCATTCAAAAGCTCTGACAGTATTTGGTTTTGTTTTTGAAAGAATATTAAAATCATACTTTCTTCTCTGAAATAGGGTTTGATCGCTATTTTAGAAGCCGAACTCTTGCCAATAATCGAAGAAATGTGTGGTTTGCAGAATTTTGGGAGGAGAATTTTGGATGCAAGTTAGGATCACATGGAAAGAGGAACAGTCACGTAAAGAAATGTACAGGTAACCACGGAAATGTTTTCCTTGGTGTGTTTGTTTTATCGTGACCTGAGAAAGGAAGTTTTTCTATGTGGATAATGATCAGAGTATCTTCTATTTCTTCATGTCTCTTACTAGTTTCTCAACAGGGTTGAGCATACAATGATTATTCAACAAACCTGTGTGGACTCATTGGTTCTTAGAGTTGACATGTATTTCTTGGCCACATGCAATGTGCCTAAAACTGGGGTATTTGAATTCTATTTAAAAACATTTATTGAGTTTCTACTATGGGCACACTTTAGTAGGCTTGGTGGGATATAGACAAATAAGCAAGAAATGACACTGGTCTCCAGGAACTTAACATGTAGTAAAGATGATGGATCGTAATACACTGATATAAGATAGTCACTTTTTTTCACTATTTCAACCCATGTCCCCTATAACATAATTGCCCCCCATATCCTGCATAGCTCTTGCAGCTATGATTTTTTGATGCTTTACCTTCTATATCATATGCTTAAAAATAATAGTGATATTAAATGTATATATTTTGAATGTAAGAATGAAAGTTTTTATTTTCAGATAACATGATTATGTACATAGAACCACCGATGGCATTTTAAAAATTACTTAGAATTAAGTACTCAGTTTAGCAAAACCATAGATACAAGGTCAATATAAAAAATTTTTTATCCATGTGTGTGTGTGTGTGTGTGTGTGTGTGTGTATGTATATATTCTTTTATAGAAACTAACATGTGGAAAATGAAATTTAAAGAATCCTGTTAATAGCAGGATCAAAAAACAAAACATCAGGGTTAGTTTTAACAAAGATGCATAAAGCTTCTATGCTGAAACTTGAATGAGTTTTTTATAACCATATACCCCTCCCTCATCTACCCCTCACTACCATATTTTGATAGATCCTCCTTTTCCTCTAATCATTTCCTTTGGAAATAACTGCTCAGTAGAAGATATAATATGATCAATGCTAGAGCAGACATATACACAGAGGAAGGACGGGCATGTGAAAATGGGTGGCACGCTGTGGAGGGGTCTGACTTCAGGCTTCCTATGTGCCAGGCACCCTTCCAGGAACTGGAATGGAGATGAGGTCTGTGCTCATGGGGCTTACACTGCAGTGTGAGGAGACAGACACTAAATAAGGAAACATATAAATGAACTGAGACTTCCAGATGCTGAGGGGTGCTTATGGGAAATACAAGGCAGTGAATGTGAAAGGCTGAGCAGGTGGTATTGGCCAGGAGGGTGGCAAGTAAGCTGTGCAGTCACAGAATGCTTCTCCAAGCAGGTGACATTTGAGATGAGACCTGAACTGCAAGATGTTATCAGCCTTGTGAAGATAAGATGGCAAGCCATTCCAGGATCTAGGGCAAGCATCCTTTGTTCAAAGCCATGGGGGCGGGGGAGGGATCAAGGTAGCTGGAGTGAAGGAAGGAAGGTAGTAAGTGAGAGGGAGAGTGATGGCCAATGAGGCTAAAGAGATAAGCTGGGGTCATGTCATGCAAGGTCTTCAAGTTGTTCCCAGGAACTCCCGTGCTGGGGGGTTTGGGCTTTATCCTAGTTGTAGGATAGAATTACTCACGAGTGCTTTTCATCTAGGGCATTGCTCAGGTACCTGTTTCAAGCAGATTCCTTTGGTGGAAGTGTGAGAAGGGCTGGAGATCAGGAGAGAGAAAGGAGAAAGGTCAGTCAGGGCCTGTCCTGTAGTCCTGGTGATGGACAGTCACAGCCTAAACAAGGATGTGCAGGTCTGGGCAGAACACAGAGGAAAGAAGTCCTGGGGACATTATGTGGTGAGTGACGAACACTGGTGTAGGGGTAAGTGATGGAGGTTCTGGATGTGAAATCTCTACCAGCTAGGTCTAGGAAAAGGGTGATGTAATTAGCTAGCAGAGAAGACGGAATGAATGGTAGATTTGGAGGGGGCCGACTTGAATTTGGTTTTGAGATGGCCCCATGGAACAGACCAGCAGGTGGCAGCATAAGGTCTGGGACCCCGCAGAGAATCCAGCACTAAAGATACAGGCTCTTGAATGGCAGATGGAGACCTGGGAGTTAAAGACCAAGGCAGAGAAGCAGTTGCCAAAGGAGTTGGAGCAGAGCTGAGGGACGACGACTGAAGATTCAAGGGGAGGAGCCAGGAAAGGCCAGTGAGCATGGTGGGAGGTGCGTGCAGCGTCCTGCGGCTGAGAGGCGTGGCTGAGGGATGAGAAGTGTGGTAGACTCGGATTGTGAGGGGCTGACATAGAGCCAGAAGAGAGGAAATGGGGGAAAGAATGCTTTTTTAAAAAGTCTGGCAAAGAAAAAAAAGTAATGGTGAAAAACTTTAGTAAGAAGTAGGGTTACAGAAGTTTTCTTTAGGATAGGGTGCACTGGAGCATGTTTTCAGAGACATATAGTATTCAGAAGGAGTAGCTAGAGAAAGAGAAATATGCTGTGGGATAGGATCTTGACAGAAACTTTAGAGAGAGGTATTAAAAGGGAGGTGTTACTTGAAGTAATGTGATTCTGTTGGGGAAAAAAAGATACACACAGAATTGTACAGAAATAGAGGGAGAAAAATCCTGTAATTAAAAGCTAGATTTGGTGAGATACCACCTCACAGTCAGAATGGCTAAAATTAACAAGTCAGGAAATGATAGATGTTGGCAAGGATGCAGAGAAAGGGGAACCCTCCTACACTGTTGGTGGGAATGCAAGCTAGTGCAACCACTCTGGAAAACAGTATGGAGGTTCCTCAAAAAGTTGAAAATAGAGCTACCCTATGACCCAGCAATTGCACTACTGGGTATTTACCCCAAAGATACAAATGTAGGGATCCGAAGGGGTATGTGCACCCTGATGTTTATAGCAGCAATGTCCACGATAGCCAAACTGTGGAAAGAGGTAAGATGTCAGATGAATGGATCAAGAAGATGTGATATATATATATACAATGGAATAATATGCAGGCATCAAAAGGAAAGAAATCCTGCCATTTGCAACGATGTGGATAGAACTGGAGGGTATTATGCTGAGTGAAATAAGTCAATCGGAGAAAGACATATACCATATGACCTCACTGATATGAGGAATTCTTAATCTCAGGAAACAAACTGAGGGTTGCTGGAGTGTTGGGGAGTGGGAGGGATGGGGTGGCTGGATGATAGACATTGGGGAGGCTATGTGATGTGGTCAGCGCTGTGAATTGTGTAAGACTGTTGAATCACAGATCTGTACCTCTGAAACAAATAATACATTATTTGTTAATAAAAAGAGGATAGTAGGAAGGGAAAAATGAAGGGGGGAAATCGGAGGGGGAGATGAACCATGAGACAGTATGGACTCTGAGAAATAAACTGAGGGTTCTAGAGGGGAGGGGGGTGGTGGATGTGTTAGCCTGGTGATGGGTATTAAAGAGGGCACATACTGAATGGAGCACTGGGTGTTATATGCAAACGATGAATCATGGAACACTACATCAAAAACTAATGATGTAATGTATGGTGATTAACATAACATAATGAAAAAATTAATAAAACTTAACTATGCTTAAATACAAAAAATCTAATGATGTAATGTATGGTGATTAACATAACAAAATAAAATTAAAAAAATAAATAAAACAAAACAAAACACAAAAAGGCTAGATTTGGACATGGATATTACAGAACTTCAGAAAATATATGATTGTAAGTTCAAGTTGTGAAATTCAAAACTTCATGGAAGAGATGAGTGTTTGATAAGAAAGATTTGAGAAAGAGCATCCAAGATGAGGGAAAAGGTGGGCCAGCAGGGCAAAGGCACAGAGTAGGACATGGCATGGAGATGTGGGGAGGACAGGGAAGTGGCCAGCGTATTGGAAAGAAGGCTGCATGTTAAAAAGTAATGGGAAATAAAGAGGGTCCAGTGTATAGAAGGATTTGAAAGGGGAGGTTACAGAGTAACTTCCGTGCTTTCATTCAGATATATTTTGCATTGTGCTTAGTTCTGACTTCTGAATGTTACTGTTTGATTGTGTACACATATTCACAGCCCACTGTCCTTTAGACCATATGAATGAGGGTCTACCAGTTAATGAAGTAGCTGAACTCCATTCTCTCTCTCTATATATATATGTATATAAAGTTGGTAGGAAATTAGTTATTAATTGACCATAATTTTTAATAGACTGTTTTCAGAATCTAAACTCTATTTTCTCTAAACTCCTATTTTCAAAAAAAAAGTTGATGTATGTGGATGTCCTTTTAGCATCTATGGATGGTATATACTGATACTTAATTCAGGCATAAATTCTGACCTGGGTTATGGTACAGTCCAGACTCGGTGTCATGTTTGCTGCAGATTCCTTCGATTCATTTGGGTGTTGCTAAAAGTGTAAAACTCTGTCAATTTAGAACTATTTCTAGTGCAATGAAAATGGTGTTTACTCCAAGTGCTAGCCCAAGTGCACCCTTAGGGAATGGGATTAGTAAACAGCTTTTCAGGCAAATTTCATTGTGAGTGATACTGAAATAACTTGTTTCTGGGTGGAAAAGAAATGATGCAATGTTCTAATTTAATTTGTTTTTAAAGATATATTTATTTATTTTAGAGAGAGAGCGCATGTGTGTGTGAGCAGGGGGAGGGGTAGAGGGAGAGGGGGGAAGGGAGAGAGAAGCAGACTCCCCAATGAGTGTAGAGCCTGCTGTAGGGGCTTGATCCCACAACCCTGAGATCATGACCTGAGCCAAAATCAAGAGTTGGACACTCAACTGACTGAGCCTCCCAGGAGCCCCATAACTTAATTTTTTTAAAAACAGTAACACATAAATATTTCCAGATGTTGAGAGAAGATGTTTGTGCCCCACATTACCATCAACACTCAGTTTTCATCTCTTTTTTGGGGGAGGAAAGATGATCTATCACGTTAGTGGTCAAATATACTTAAGAAGGAAAACCTATGGATATTCATGAGTAGGGGTGTCCAGGGTTTGAAAATTATTTATATTTCCAATTTGTCCAATCCCACCCAATTCT